ACTGTAGATGAGCTTCTGCAAGTTTCGACCATCTCCGTTCGCCGTGATCCGTGACATTTGGACCTTTGTTCCATCAATGAAACCAAATACACTGCCATATGGAGCACCCTTCGAGTGAATAGCGCGGCAGTAGCGGTCCATACGTGTGCGGAGCAATTTTGTGTTCAAGTAGAGTTTTGAGTTCCACCGGTCGAATACGTCGTGCACCATGTAGAGGAAAATTTCACAAAGCTGGGCTCTTGATCGGCCAAACATGAGCGCCATGTCATGATATCGCCTTGGGAAGGTCAGTCGACTGAGCAGAATACACATAGCTTCGTCACGGCAAACTCGTGATCCAGTTGAGGTGATTACAGTGGCAGGTATTCCAAGCAGATATCCCAGTTTCTGGACGCCATGAACGTCAAAACGGAAGTCCAAAAGAGCATTTGCATTGGGGTGCTTGTCCAGAGAAAATACGACGTTCGGGATGACCGGTGGCTCAATCTATTGCATGAGGTACATGCGCATGAGGAAGTCCCGCGACGCCTTGTTCTTTGCAAATGGTAACAAGGTAACGATGTCGTTGACGGAAAGCATGTTGAGCAGTGATGTATTGTAAGAATGAGTCGCATGTGCAAACGTACCTCAAGCTAGTTGAAACTGTCAACTGAAAAGGTTAAGAAAAGTCCAAAATGGTCCCTTTCGCCATTCCTTGCAATTCCGCTTCCGGTAGTCGGAAACGGTATAGGAAAGGACTCCTTCAAAACCTCTCTATTGATTCTGTCTGCAATTCTGTCGTTGGTCGTTCTAACGACCCACACGGCCACGTTCGACCCCTGCTGCGAGGACTCCCAAGTTGGTCATTAACTCGTATGATTCAATAGCGCATTTTCTGCTCCCTCTCAGCCCTTTCGCTGTCTTCACACTCATTCTTGCATACAGTTGGAAGTGTGGTGTTTGGCAGCTTGACGCGACTCATGTCGATGGTAGATCTTATTTGCATTGGCGCGATCGTGGTGGTCAACACTTTCGAGGGGTTGTTGCGAATTTGCCATTCGCAGAACCCTGGGCTCCCCCCAAGAGGCAACCCAAGGGTTCAGTTCCCTTGGGTAGTATGCCGAACGATTCGCTTAGCAAATTGGACGAGTGGCTGGGATCTGCTGTCTGATTAAGGTAGGGTTAAGCCCAGTGGCTAGCAGCGACTGGGGGGAATCCACTTCGTGATTTGCCTTTGGATACGGACTTCGCGAGGTCCGTCAGGTGGAGACCGTGGTGGCCGTGCCTTTACCTCCGCCGACCCAAGCGGAGATGGACGAGCTACGGATGCAGAGCGTGGAGCGCGCTGCTGCGACATCGAGTCATGTCAACCAGATGACTTACAAACAGCTGGCGCAGTTCCATGCGCAGCAAAGTGCCATGGCGCAACGTCTGGAAGAAGAAACGGCCAGACAGCTGGACATAGCAGCGGCGATGGAGAAGAATAGCCAGGAACAAGAAGAGTCGCGAGCGGTTCTATCGTGACCGCAAGAGGAGTTGGTGCGCC